CTGCTCGGTGTCTCCGTCTGGTTCCCTCGTGTTAGCCCTTTGACTCTCACACCCGTCCCTGTTTTCTCTTTATTTGTCCTAAGTAATCATTTGGTTTTCTGGGCTCAGTGGACCCTCTCCGGAGCCTGGGGGGAGGTCCTTTATATGTGGGCGGCTAGCCCGCCCACCTCTCGGACTTCAATAGGCACATTGTCTGACTTCAATAGGCAGTTTCCCAATGTGTAAAATATGAATTATGATACTGACTCTGCTTTGTAAAGTGCTGTGATAGTTTTTGGCTAGCTGTTCTTCAAATTCTTTTTTGGCTTTCCCAATTACATGTTTACACTTCATTTGTCAGAGTTTATGTTCCTTTTTATTTTCCTCATTAGGATTTAACTTTTGCTTTCCAAATGATGCCTTTTTGCCTCTCACTACGTCTTTTATTTAGCAGTTCAGCAACAGTGGCACTTTTTGGTTCTCTCTATGGCTACGTCTACACTGGCCCCTTTTCCGGAAGGGGCATGTTAATTTCAGCTATCGTAATAGGGAAATCCTACTTTGAAGTAGGAATAAGAGCCTCCAGAAAAGGGCGCTTTTTCCGGAGGATCGGGGCCAGTGTAGACGCTCTTTTCCGGCTTTTCTAAAAGCCGGAAAAAAGCGGCGGACATTTTTATTTAAATGCCGCGGGGGATATTTAAATCCCCCGCGGATTTCCCTACTACGACTCATGAAATTTACATGCCCCTTCCGGAAAAGGGGCCAATGTAGACGAGCCCTAATTCTAAAAGCCGGAAAAAAGCGGCTGACATTTTTATTTAAATGCCGCGGGGGATATTTAAATCCCCCGCGGATTTCCCTATTACGATAGCTGAAATTAACATGCCCCTTCCGGAAAAGGGGCCAGTGTAGACGTAGCCTATATGTTTAATTTGAGGTATACACTTCAGTTGAGCCTCTCTTAAAATAAAGAATAAGGGATCTTTTGGAAAAGGCTTTATTTTCCGAAAGATCCCCGTCTAGACTGGCGCTTTTTTCTGGCAAAGCTCTGAGATGGAAAAAAGCGGCAGCCATGTTTATGCAAATGAAGCTGGGGGGGTTTAAATTCCCACTTCATTTTCAATTGCGATGGATGCAGTCTAGACACAGCCCTCAATGGTATCATGGGGTATGTCTATACTAGTCCCCTAGTTCGAACTAGGGAGGCTAATGTAGGCATTTGAACTTGCAAATAAAGCCCAGGATTTAAATATCCCAGGCTTTTATTTGCATCTTCCCATCTGGGCGCCATTTTTAAATGCCACTAGTCTAGGCTAACTGCTACACACGGCAGTTAAACGGTAATTCGAATTAAGTCCTTAGTTCAAATGACCTGTTACACCTCATTCTGCCTGCATTCTGCATTCTCTTTTACTACTGATGTTGCTTTGTTTTGATCAGGATTTATTTTTTGTTTACATTTGAAGAACATTAGGTGTGTCTAGCCCCTCCACACACACTCCCCCTCTCAGCTCCCTCTCCAAACATCCCAGTGAGCCACTCCTGTTCACTAGCTCCAAAGAACAAGCCATGGGAGGAGAAAGCGAGATAGAGCTGTGCTAGGCAGGGGATGCACACTGGGGCCAGCATGGGCTGGAGCCTTTGTGAAGCTCCTTGCCCACCCCCAACCACAGGCATCCTTTGGCCGGGTCAGAGCCCTCGCTGGCAGCTGCAGCCAAGTGCCTGGGCTCAGTTTAAATCAGTCCTAAAGAAAAGGAAGTATCATGGTCAAAAACACTAGCTCAGACCTTTCTGGAGCCTGATTATCCCTCAGACAAAATAGCGGTTAAAATAATCTCTCCGAACATGTCAGAACGAAGAGGGGAAGGTTGTGGAAAATGTCTCCCTCCACCCCCCGAGCAAAATACTCTGACTCAGGGCATGGCCAAAAATGAGGAAATGTTGCAATAGGCTAGATTTGGCTCACAGAAGTGAGATCTCAGGCCTAGGGGGCCCTGATTTCCAGCTACTTGGGCAGCTGGGGAAAAAAAGAGAGAAATATTTTCCATTTCTGTAACGCCTTCCATTTCAATTTAACCCAAGCGCTACACAGCCCCCTTCTATGAGGATGGGAAGGGTTGTGCTTATTTTACGGCAGGGTAGCTGAGGCATAGAGTGATGGTGTGACGGGCTGATGATCTGCAGCCAAGCTGCACCAGATCTCCCGTACCCTAAGTTGCTGCCTTGACCCCGTTACAGAAAGCATGTGGACACATTAGATCAACAACAATGACTAGGGGCCTGCAGCGCATGGCTTATGAGCCCCGCTCGCCGGCCGCGCGTTTGGCACGCTGCACATGCGCAGACCGCGATGCACATACTGCGATGCGCATGCACTAACCACGCTGCACGGCTGTGCTGGCTTGTAATCTACTCCCCACGGGCAAGTAGATTATATTGATTGTCAAGCCCTGCTCATGAGGAGAGGCTGAGGGATTTGGGCTTATTTAGTCTGCAGAAGAGCAGAGTGAGGGGGGACTTTGTAGCACCCTCCAACTACCTGAAGGAGGTTCCAAAGAGGCTGGAGAGAGGCTGTTCTCAGTGGTGGCAGACGACAGAATGAGGAGCAATGGGCTCAAGTTGCAGTGGGGGAGGGTAGGACAAACGATTTTCTATTTGCAGATCTTCCACCACGGTGTGTGTACGTGTGTGGTTGTGATGGGAGGGTTTTTCCCCTTTCAGAAGGAGACACGGGCTGCCCTCTCTTCCCTTGTAGATGTTGGGAGTTCCCAGTACTGTCAACCCCACCTGTTCAAAAATAATGAGGTGGGCCTCAAAAAAACATGAAATTGACTTAACCAGCACGCATGGGATTTATTTAAACTAGCAGGGGTTGCTCCGGTCCTTGACTCAATTTTTTTTTAAATGAAAGGAAAATGTTCAAGCTTCATTGCAATCATTGTTCTTGGGTGAGGCTGGAGATGAGGGGCTACTCTGGGGAGAGAGGACAACTCCAGCCCTCTCTCACTGCAGCTGCTTGGGGACAGGGTTGTAGCTCCAGCGGGCACAGCTGGGGGAGGGGTGCATGTCCCCCACACTGGGGCAGTCAGATCCCAATGTAAGGGCTCAGATGTTGGGGCAGGGGAGGCATGGATGTTAGAGGTAGGGGCTGCAGGCAGGATCCCAGTGTGAGGTTACAGATGTTTGTGGGGTGGGGGGAGGGGAATCCCAGTGTGCGGGTGCGAATGTTAGTGGGAGGGGGGCATCCCAGCAGGAAGACATGGGGGTGTCTGGCTGAGGACACAGTTTCATGGGTTTGTAGGAGCCTGGTCTCTGGGCTTCTGGACACAGGGGGAGACACTGTCAACTTGCAACCCAAGAATTCAAAACTCATGAATCAGCCCCTGAAGCCCCCAAAGAATCTGGCTTCTTGTAGCCACAGAAACTCTTGGCAGGTGAGGAACCATCAAGGCGAATGGCAGGTTGTTTAGTTTCTAAGAAATTTAAAATAAAAAATACAAGAGACTTTTTTCCCCCCAAACACCATCTCCAGTGACATCATCAGCCCACCGGGAGAGTCTGAGGACCAGCTGTGACCCAAAGGTAAACTGAGTCCCAGTAATTATTTAATGTCAGCAGAGATTGTCTGATCCCCTATAACAGGAGCGGGGAACCGTTTTTGGATTGCAGGCCACTGACCTACAGAAAAATCAGTTGGGGGCTGCAAACAAGTGAGAAACAAAAAACCCCACCCCTCACCAGTGTGGGCTCCCAATGCTGGGGGGGAACCCTGAGCTTCAGAGGCCAGATCCAGGCAAGGTGGGGGTTGCATCTGGCCCTTGGGCCTTAGATGCCTCATCCAGGCCCCAGGCCTCAGGTTCCCCCAGTGCAACTGTGACAACTGAGAACTTTAAAAACTTTAAACTAGACATTGACATCTGTCAAGAATGTCTGTCACAATCGAATTCCACTCAGCCTCCCCACTGTGCACGCTGCAGAAATGCTGTACTTCTGTTTCAGGACTAGAAATAGCTGGGTTATTAATAGTTAGAAGCTTGTGGCTGGTTTTCAGCCCAGGGTCTCTTCCTCTTTACTTTACCACTCATGAAATCCACTGGCCTGAGGAAATGAATATTCGGCCCCCCAGAGCAAGCCCAGGCCTGCATTTGGTTAATTCATGGGGCTTATTCTTTGACAAATGAGGAGGAAACAGTTTGGGATTGTCACTTACAGGCAGAAGTTACATTGCATCACTAAGGGAAACTGAGGGTCTGTCTGCCTGGTCGATCACCTTCTGGCTGACTGAGCCAAACCAGAGATTTCCCTCATTTCTTCTCTTTTCTCACATCAGACTCATTTGTTGTGGTTGGAAATGTACCAGCACCCTTTGGTGAGGAAGCCTGGGAAGAGCTGTAGGCAGCTCTTCCTCCAGCTCCACGCACATTTTCCTGGCACTTTCACCAAATCAACAGTAACAGCTTCAGGCATGGCTAGAACTGCATGTTAACCTGGGGCGTCAGAGCTGGCTTGTGCTGGCATGTCCACCCTGCACTGTGAACCGAGGGTCAGAGTTGCTGGACTCGGGTACTCAATACCGCCACCAACCATGCAGATCTTCTGGCTTGGGTCCATGGCGTGACCTGCATCCACACTACAAAGACTGGGCTTGAATCCGATTGCAGTAGCATTCAGGTTCCCTAGTTTGAACTAGGGGGCAAGTGTAGAAATACCCAAAGTCTGTACTCACTTCACTAATGCTTTTTCTGTAACTTGTTGTAAAACTAGGTAAATATTAGAAGAATCAGTGTATCCTGGGAAGATCTCTGCCTGTTCCCAGAGGTGTGCATATACTTAGTTGAGAACCACCAATCTACTACAGATAGATAGAGGGCTAACTGCTGTGCAGAGAGATTAGCAGGCAGGGTCCATACAGTGAATGTTTCTACAAGGAGGCCCCAGTATTTGCAGAAGTAAATGAAGCAATTCCTTTCCTATATAAACCACTCCCAGCGTTCTGAAATTCCTTCGTGCTTTGGAGCAGATGACACATTAACTCATCCCAGCCACACCATGAGGAGCAGACCTGGCTGCTTTCTTCTGGGTAAGTCCGACACCTTGGGGAAAGGGGAAATATTTTCACTGGTCTGTGGCACAACATTGAAAGGTCATTTTCTCCAAGAATCTCATTGTGTGAAAACTGTTTTTTTTTAATCATACTCAATTGTTTGATCTTCAGGTTATGATAAAATGAGTCTATTCTTGGGGCCCAAATCTCCCAACGACAAATCTATTTGACTGTCAACATATGGGACACTACCTGTCTTTCCATCTCTATAGCTGTCTATCAAGACTTGGTCTTTTACTCCTCTGTTTCTCCATCTGTCTCTCGCAGTGGTTAGAAATGAATTCAAGTGATTCTAAGATGGGGTCATTTATTATTTATTATTTTATTGTATTAATGTATTGCATTTTGTTGGTCTAGTCTATAAGGTTATGATGATGTGCTCATCACAATAGTAGCTGACCAGCTTTCAGCAGTTCACTAAGCAATGCAATTAACATGTTTCATAGTAGCCCTGTTCTCCAGCCCCCTTAGCTTGTAAATTACACCAGTTTATACTAGACCCACTCTTTTAACAACTTGTAACTTTCACCTCCGGTCACACAGTTTAATGAAGGTCCTATTCATGCATGACTGGGATTCTGATACAGTACCAGCTCCTTCCCCCCTCCACTCCCATCCCCTTCCTTCTAGAACTAGAGTTGAAGGGGCATTTCCACAGAGCCCCTGGAATCTCAGCTAGAGACAGCAACACACCAGAGCTTTCCTGGGCTGTAGTTAATTTCAACACACAACACAGCTTTTGTACAGCTTTCTTCCCACATGCCATTTACCTAATGCAGCACAGAATGCAGGGTTGTGGTGGAATAAAGCCTAGCTGAGAGCGAGGGGAGACACTAAAGGAGACGGTATAGGCAAGGGAGAAAAGATGTCTTTTCAGATGAGGTGTAAAGACAGGTGGACAGCTGATGAGACAGGACCAGGTAGGTTCTAGGCCTCAGAGGTTGCAGAGAAGACTTGCACCAGCGGATTCTTCAAAAGGTGTGTAAGCAGGCTGGTAATAGAGGAGAAGAAGGATCAAAGCAGAGAGTAAGAGACCAGTTTTATGGAACTGGATGGTGCAAGTGAGTTTGAAAAGCGTGGTCCAATTTGTAGAGCACAGGATAGAGACGGTGGATAGGGGACAAAGCTGTCTATTGCAGAATCCCTGCCTGGTAACACTGGAAGATAGTGAGGCTTCCAGTCATTTCAAATCACAACTACCTTTCTTTAAAGAACAAAGAGTCTGGCTGGTTAGTGCTTTTTGGCCCAGCCCCCTCCATCGCTCTGGGTCAGGTTAAGAAGAGCGAAGCCCTCGCAGTCTCCGTCCTCCTGCACAGCCCTTTTAACAGCCTGTTACTCTTTCACAGCAGGTCTCAGCTTCCTTCTCCACTGCAGAGAATCAGGTGGGATCATTTTTATCTTTCTGACATCGGGTGGGTCTCCTGGGTTATTTTGCACCTCTGTGGGGAAGGGATCTGGAGACTGATCTGGATTAAATTGGCAACTTTGGATCTGTATCTGTTGTGGGAAACAACACATGGCCCCTCCCTGCACCTCCGCCTCCTGCAGGTACCAATCACTCCTGCAGGTTCGGGTGGGTCCTTCATTTTGTAAAGTCCTTTTTTGGAGGGCCAGCTCCTCACCTGATGTCAATCATTTTACAGTCCAGGGAGCTCTGGCAGCCTGCTCTCACTGGGGATCTGACTCTCCCTTTTTGACTCTCACAGTGGGAGACGAGTCAATTGTCCCTTCCCATCATTCTCCCAGATGGTGCATGTGGCACATTTCATCTGTCTGAAGCATCTTAATTTGAAAAAACTGAAAACACAAGGACTTAAAGATGAACAAAACATGTAGATGGTGTCATGAGCTTTCGTGGGCACCGCCCACTTCTTCAGATGACCGGAGTAATTTGCACTGGGATTTTTCTGATCGGCTCTCCCGCGGCACTTAACTTACTGCACTCTGAGATTATCTGCACCTTTTTCTTTCCCCAGCCTTCAGCTCTGACAGTCTGACAGCATACTGTGAGTATGAACCGGCGTTTCCTCCCGTTCCTTATTACATCCTAGTGAGAGGGGAAAGGGGCCATCGCAAACAGCTGCTTGTGTTGCAGACAAAAGGGGAGATTCTGAGCACTGATGTGATTTGGGAGATCCCTGCGAGTGGAGCGCTGAGGGGGACAAAAGTCCTGTTTGGCAAAGGCTTTTGAGATTTCAGCCTCGGCTCGGTGCCGAATTGGAACAAAGCCAGGCCGTTTTGAAGTGTGCGTTAGTCTACAGGGCCAGTTGGGACATGCGCCTCCATCCCCAGGGCTGGCTGGGTTTCCTCCCCAGCGGAGGCCCAGCCGGGGTGCAAGTGGCAGGGCCAGCAGAGCCTGACACTTTTGCACTGACACAGGCTCCTTTTCTTGCTCCAGATGATAATGCGGACTATGTTTACAGTGGGAGTGGCAGTGTCGCCGGCATGGACTGTGGGCCCCATGGAGTGCCCTGGAACCTCTCCCACTGCGTCTGTGAAGAGGGGTTCAGGGCCATCTCCGGGAAAGCCCCATTCCGTGGAACCAGTGAGACTGGCTGTGAGGGTAAGCGCCCTGTGGCATCTGCTGGGCTCCACTCAGGCTGGCATTCACCCCATGCAGCAGGCCAGGGTAAGCGCCACACTAGCCCTGTGTCCTTCTGCAGCTCCTGTCATCTTCTGGGCTCCACTCAGGCTGGCAGTCACCCCATGCAGCAGGCCAGCACAGGGCCATGCATCATTTCCAGCCATGGGGCCCTGAATTGGGCTCCAGAGTGTCAGCAGCCTGAGCCGGTGGACAAAACCAAAAATCACGAGCTGCATTTGCGCTGCACAGCGTGACAAGGGCAAATGGTCACGCGGTGTCCTTGCCTTGCACAGAACAGCCCCCTCACTGCCGATCAGGTTTCACAAAAGGAAAGGACTACATGAAGAGGTGTTTGAATGGATCGCAGCAGGTAAACTCGCAATGCCAGTGAGTTAGCATTGTTTGGCGGATGTGAAAATAGCACGGGAAGGGACACACTCACATGCCAGTGTGGGACTTAGTAGAGCTGTCTCTGACACTGGCCTGCTCACTGACCTTTGACCGGTCACTTCACTGTCTGTGCCTCAGTTTCCCCACCTGTAAAATAAGCTAAGGAAGATGCTCTGTGAGACCCATTGAAGAAAAGGGCTGTATTAGAGCCAGGGATTTTCATCTGCTAGACTAAGTGTCAATGAAAAGTGTCACGTTGATGGTAATTCCCAGAGGTTTCTTGCCCTGCAGAGATAAGATAGAAGGGAGAGTGTAGGATGTAGGGGTGCTGTAGTTCTTACATTAAAGGTATTTGTACCCCTGTAGCTCCTTCGGCTTGAGTGCAACTATACTGGCCCACACTAGTCTATGTCCCGGGACATTGGCCTTTGCTCACTGGATGTACCCTAATGACATGAGTTTTCTCTCTTGCGGTGGCCTAGGTTCCCTTGGACAACAGGCAAGCCAGCTTGTTCTGTTCGCTGGTCAATTTCACCCTGAGCCTCTTGACACCTGCCTGTGAAAACGTCAGCCTGACGACTTCCCTAAAGGTCAGAAATGGGGCCTTGTTAGCGATACCCATCTTCACATGGGAGGCACACCCTGGATCTCTGCCAGGGCCTGAGTAGGTCCCTGACTGGTGCAGGTGCAGCCTGCTTCAATTCCTCGTATAACGCACCCCTTTTGGAACCATGGTCCAGGGATTGATGCCTAACCCCTGTGGACACCAAATTCACCCCTGTGCAGGGGGGCAGCCAATGGGGGTGTGTCAGGACAGCTCCTATCAGTCTAACAACCTGCAGATGCCTACCCTGATGGGGGCAGGGGCGCTGGCATCAACAGGACAGATTTTAGGACCATCTTTCACTCTTTGGGCATCTTCTTAAGTGTGTGAACCATCTGCTAGGGCCTGATCCCCAAGGCCACAGAAATGCGTGGGCTGCAGCCCACCACGCAGCCCCTCTATCCCAGCAGGAGTTCCACATGCAGGTGCGTGGAGTTGGACATAGAGAATGCAGGGGGAAGCCAGAGTCTTCCCAGAGAGGCATGATATCGCTCTAGTCCCTGCATCCTTTAGGAGACGGCGGCATCCTTCAGACACGTCCTTGTTGACAGCTCCCTCTGGAGCATGGAAAGCCGGGAGGAAGTGGCTTCTGCTGCCACGCTGCTTCTGCAGAGCCTGGGGTCGGCTGCAGTAACAGCTGCCCTCGCTGCGCCGGAGAACCAAACCCAGACTGCGACCACCAAACTAATGGGTAAGAAGCCAAGGCTGGCCATGAAATTCACAAGGAGTTGGGAGCCAGGCTTTTAACCACTGCTCCTCAGCTTTTTGGGGTGTTCAGTGCAGGGTTTTCATTATGTTTGTCTTAGCGAGAGGCTTGACATTCTGCCCTGGATCCAGGTCTGGATTTAGAGGTGGAGTTGCCCAGAGAAGACAAGATCCAGCTTTGTGACAGGCTCCCTTTGGGGCTGGTCCATGAACTGCTGCTGAAGTTACGTTGATTGTAAGAGCACTGGGGCTGGCACTTTCTGGGCAACACCCTGCAGAGTGGGGCTTCTGGGGCTACTGTAATGCAGCTAATAAATGCGCATGAGAAATCCCCAGTTACCCAAGCCCTTCTCTCGGCACCATGCAGCGATTCCGACAAAGCTCACCGATGAGAACTGCAGTCGGCAGAGCGACATTCTCCAGCTCACTGCTCATGGAGACAGCCTGGAGATTGACTGCACTGCAGTCACTGCAGCTGACACAAAAGGTATCACTGAGGCATCCCCGCAACCCACCAATCCCAACTACGTTCCCTTCCGGTGCCTTGTCTTCCAGGGCTCAGAATATGAAACTGGTACCCTCGTGGAGGAGTAACTTCCTCAGGGCAGATTGGCCCCTACTCTGTGGACGGTGCTGTCTGGTCTACAGGACTCCGAGTGGAGTGGGTGACTGGCCATAGTCTTCAGTGGGTTGACAGCAGTGAGTGTAATGCTGGCTGGTAGAATCCAGTTGTGCTGTGTGAGTCCCTGCGTAATGAAATCACAGACACTGAGAAATGGACGGCTGGGGGCGATCTCAAGAGGCCACCTAGTCCGTCCCTCAGCTCCGAGGCAGGATGAACTCGATCTGTTCTCACCTGTTCTGGAAAGCAGCCCCTCCCTGGGTCTCCCGGAACAGTGCTGAGCTGCACTTGGAGGCTGTCTACACTGTGGTTTTTTTGCAGAAGAGGATATGCAAATGGTTCACTCATTTGCATATCTTTTTCCAATTCTTTTTGTCAGAAAAAAAAAAACCCTTTTTGCAAGGTCCCATAAACCTCGATTTTTGAGGAATAAGGGATCTTGTGAAAGGTTTTCTTTTCTGACCAATGGCCAGGGCTTTTTAGTGGCAAAGCCTCTTCCGCAGAAAGAATCGGAAAAAGATATGTAAATGAGCGCACCTGAGTTAGGCAGATTGAAGCTCCGGGTATGTCTACACTACAAAGTTAGTTCGAACTAACGGACGTTAGTTCGAACTAACTTTAATAGGCGCTACACTAGCGCTCCGCTAGTTCGAATTTGAATCGAACTAGCGGAGCGCTTAGTTCGAACTAGGTAAACCTCATTTTACGAGGATTAAGCCTAGTTCGAACTAGCTAGTTCGAATTAAGGGGTGTGTAGCCCCTTAATTCGAACTAGTGGGAGGCTAGCCCTCCCCAGGTTTCCCTGGTGGCCACTCTGGCCAACACCAGGGAAACTCTATGCCCCCCTCCCAGCCCCGGACCCCTTAAAGGGGCACGGGCTGGCTACAGTGCCCGTGCCAGGGGCAAGCCTGCCAGCACCCAGCCAGCAGACCCTGCACCTGGCACGGCACAGAGTCACCCACCCGATGTCCCTCAGCCCACCCCCTCTTCCCGGGACCAGGCTGGCGGCTCCCGGGAGCTTGCCCTGGACCGCAAGAGGCGGGCACCTTCCTGGGCTAGTGCGGACATCGTGGACCTCGTCCACGATCTCCGCACTAGGCACAGGAAAGTGGCCGTCTAGGGCAGGAGAGCTGCCAGCCTGGCCACCCAAGAGCAGGTGTGCATGAAAATCAAGGGGGTCCACTGAGACCCCCGACACTGAGCCCTGAGCTTACAATGGCCGTCCTGGGTGAGACCAAAGGTCCATCTAGCCCAGTAGCCTGTCTGCCGACAGCGGCTAACCCTAGGGACCCTGGAGGGGATGGACCAAAGACAGTGACCAAGCCATTTGTCTCGTGCCATCCCTCTCCAGCCTTCCACAAACTTTGGGCAGGGACACCACTCCTACCCCCTGGCTAAGACTACTCCATGGACCCAACCTCCATGACTTGATCTCACTTCCCTTTCAACTCTGTTCTAGTTGTAGCCTTCACAGCCTCCTGCAGCAAGGAGTTCCACAGGTTAACTATTTGCTTTGTCAACAACAACAACTTTCTCTTACTAGTTTCAAGCCTGCTACCCAGTCCTTTCCTTTGGTGTCCTCTAGTCCTTCTTTATGGGAACTCAGGAAGAACTTTTCTGAATGCACCCTCTCCACCCAACCCCTGCTTTTAGAGACCTCTATCCTGTCCCCCCTCCGTCTCCTCTTTTCTAAGCTGAACAGTCCCAGTCTCTGTAGCCTTTCTTCATCTGGGACCTGTTCCCAACCCCTGATCATGTTAGTTGCCCTCCCCTCTCCCAGCCTTTCTCTTCCCCTCTCCCACCTCCTTTTCCCAGTCTCCCCCAGTTTTGTTCAATAAAGACAGAGTCAATGTTGGAAGAAACGTTATCTTTATTTTGTACATCAATAAGAAGGGGGGCTAGGGAAGGGTAAGTGGAAGGAGGTGAGGGAGGAATGGGGTACGAGCCCCCGATGGGGAGGACTGGGCTGGCTCTGCGGGCTTCTGGGGGTGGAAGCTCTCCTGCAGCCCCCCAATTACCCCCTCTCCCCAGATGGCAGCCTGCGGCAAGTGCAGCCGGGCTGATGGCCGAGTGGTGTGATGTGCCCAGTGTGGGTACTCCGGGCACTCCAAGCCAGAACTTCTTTGCAAGCGGGGCACCCCTGAGAACTGTCTGTCCGGGGTGGGGGTCGGGACCCTTTAAGTGCAGCCCTCGGCTAGCCTGAGACAGCATCTCCATGCTCTAAGTCCTCCTCTGATGCCCTGCCGGCACTGCTTCCGGCCATCCTTAAGCCCTGTTCAGAGTCCACTCAATGTGGACTTGCTAGTTCGAATTAGCAAAACGCTAATTCGAACTAGTTTTTAGTTCTAGACGCGTTAGTTCGAATTAGCTTAGTTCGAATTAACTAATTCGAACTAAGTTAGTTCAAACTAACTTTGTAGTGTAGACGTACCCTCTCTGTGTGTGGAACCTGAACCCTTCGTGCACCAGCAAAGGGCCAGCGCTGGTCCCGCACTGTCAAATCTCACTGATTCCTCATGAGCAAGCCCAGGTCCTGCACTCCTTAAAGGGCCCTTCCTCCCTGTTCTGATAGAATCATAGAATAATAGGACTGGAAGGGACCTCGAGAGGTCATCGAGTCCAGCCCCCCGCCCTCAAGGCAGGATCAAGCTCCGTCTACACCATCCCTGACAGATGTCTATCTAACCTGTTCTTAAATATCTCCAGAGAGGGAGATTCCACCACCTCCCTTGGCAATTTATTCCAATATTTGACCACCCTGACAGTTAGGAATTTTTTCCTAATGTCCAATCTAAACCTCCCCTGCTGCACTTTAAGCCCATTACTCCTTGTCCTGTCCTCAGAAACCAAGAGGAACAAATTTTCTCCTTCCTCCTTGTGACACCCTTTTAGATATTTGAAAACCGCTATCATGTCCCCCCTTAATCTTCTTTTTTCCAAACTAAACAAGCCCAGTTCATGAAGCCTGGCTTCATAGGTCATGTTCTCTAAACCTTTAATCATTCTTGTTGCTCTTCTCTGTACCCTTTCCAATTTCTCCACATCTTTCTTGAAATGTGGCGCCCAGAACTGGACACAGTACTCCAGCTGAGGCCTAACTAGTGCAGAGTAGAGCGGCAGAATGACTTCACGAGTTTTGCTTACAACACACCTGTTGATACAACCTAGAATCATATTTGCTTTTTTTGCAACAGCATCACACTGTTGACTCATATTCAACTTGTGGTCCACTATGACCCCTAGATCCCTTTCTGCCATGCTCCTTCCTAGACAGTCGCTTCCCATCTTGTATGTATGGAACTGATTGTTCCTTCCTAAGTGGAGCACTTTGCATTTCTCTTTATTAAACCTCATCCTGTTTACCTCTGACCATTTCTCTAACTTGCTAAGGTCATTTTGAATTATGTCCCTATCCTCCAAAGAAGTTGCAACCCCACCCAGTTTGGTATCATCTGCAAACTTAATAAGCGTACTCTCTATCCCAATATCTACATCATTGATGAAGATGTTGAACAGTATGGGTCCCAAAACAGACCCTTGAGGAACTCCACTTGTTATCCCTTTCCAGCAGGATTTAGAACCGTTAACAACAACTCTCTGACTACGGTTATCCAGCCAATTATGCACCCACCTTATCGTGGCCCTATCTAAGTTATATTTGCCTAGTTTATCAATAAGAATATCATGCGAGACCGTATCAAATGCCTTACTAAAGTCTAGGTATATGACATCCACCGCTTCTCCCTTATCCACAAGGCTCGTTATCTTATCAAAGAAAGCTATCAGATTAGTTTGGCATGACTTGTTCTTCACAAACCCATGCTGGCTATTCCCTATCACTTTATTACCTTCCAAGTGTTTGCATATGATTTCCTTAATTACCTGCTCCATTATCTTCCCTGGGACAGACGTTAAACTGACCGGTCTGTAGTTTCCTGGGTTGTTCTTATTCCCCTTTTTATAGATGGGCACAATATTTGCCCTTTTCCAGTCTTCTGGAATCTCCCCTGTCTGCCATGATTTTTCAAAGATCATAGCTAAAGGCTCAGATACCTCCTCTATCAGCTCCTTGAGTATCCTGGGATGCATTTCATCAGGACCTGGTGACTTGCTGACATCTAACTTTCCTAAGTGATTTTTAACTTGTTCTTTGTGTATCCTATCTTCTAAACTTACCCTCTCTCTGCTTGTATTCACTACGTTAGGCACACCTCCAGACTTCTCGGTGAAGACCGAAACAAAGAAGTCATTGAGCATCTCCGCCATTTCCAAGTTCCCTGTTACTGCTTCTCCCTCCTCGCTAAGCAGTGGGCCTACCCTGTCCTTGGTCTTCCTCTTGCTTTTAATGTATTTATAAAAGGTCTTCTTGTTTCCCTTTATGCCTGTAGCTAGTTTGATCTCATTTTGTGCCTTTGCCTTTCTAATCTTGCCCCTGCATTCCCGTGTTGCTTGCCTATATTCATCCTTTGTTAGTTGTCCTAGTTTCCATTTTTTATATGACTCCTTTTTTATTTTGAGATCGTGCAAGATCTCCTTGTTAAGCCAAGCTGGTCTTTTGCCATATTTTCTATCTTTCCTACACAGCGGAATTGTTTGCTTTTGGGCCCTTAACAACGTCCCTTTGAAATACTTCCAACTCTCCTCAGTTGTTTTTCCCTTCAGTCTTGCTTCCCATGGGACCTTACCTACAAGTTCTCTGAGCTTATCAAAATCTGCCTTCCTGAAATCCATTACCTCAATTGTGCTGGTCTCCCTTCTACCTTTCCTTAAGATCATGAACTCTATTATTTCGTGATCACTGTCCCCTATACTGTCTTCCACTTTCAAGTTCTCAACTAGTTCCTCCCTATTTGTTAAAACCAAATCCAGAACAGCTTCTCCTCTGGTAGCTTTTTCAACCTTCTGAAACAGAAAGTTGTCTCCAATGCAGTCCAGAAACTTATTGGATAGCCTGTGCCTCGCTGTGTTAGTTTCCCAACATATGTCTGGATAGTTGAAGTCCCCCATCACCACCAAATCTTGGGCTTTGGATAGTTTTGTTAATTGTTTAAAAAAGGCCTCATCCACCTCTTCCACCTGGCTAGGTGGCCTGTAGTAGACTCCTAGCATGATATCACCCTCGTTTTTTACCCCTTTTAGCTTAACCCAGAGACTCTCTACACAGCTATCTCCTACGTTCATCTCCACTTCAGTCCAAGTGTGTACATTTTTAATATACAAGGCAACCCCTCCTCCCTTTTTTCCCTGTCTGTCCTTCCTGAGCAAGCCGTACCCTTCCATACCAACATTCCAATCATGTGTCCCATCCCACCAGGTTTCTGTAATACCAATGATATCATAGTTGTATTTATTGGTTAGCAATTCCAGTTCTTCCTGCTTATTACCCATACTTCTCGCATTTGTATATAGGCATCTAAGATACTGATTTGATCTTGCCTCCCTGTTGTGCCCTGACCCTCCTTTCTCCTTGCCATTATAGGCCGTAGTCCCCCCCATTTCCAACCCATCTCCCAGTCCCGCACATACAGCACTTACCTGTGGGCTTTGCTCACCTGCCCCCAACAAACCTAGTTTAAAGCCTGCCCCCAACAAACCTAGATCAAGCTCTGAAGTTCCCTACTGTGGTTTGAAGGCCATGTCTACACAGGGCAGGTTTAGGGATGATAGTGCTGCCGACATGCAAAAGTTGCAAAAAGTGAAAACTGGTCAAACCGTTTTTTCTGCCTCCCATTGTCGACATTGCAGGGCCACATGGTTCGCTCCCCTGATGACAGATAGAGCCAAGCCATGTGGGGAAGCATCCCCCAGGGCACTCCTGTGAGAAGGCAGAGCTGATCCCTGCGCTTCTCTGGTAGTTCTGTGAGTTCTCCGTGCTAAGGAATGTCAGAGCGGCACAGCAGTCTCTCCAGCCCTCCCCCTGCACCTGCTGCTGTGTTCCTAGCAGGGCAGAATAGGAGCATTTCAGTGATTTGCTCTTTGTTTGTTCCCAAACAGAGCAGCTCACTCAGCTGTCAGATACTTTTCAGAGCTTTGAAAGGGGAGGAACACACGCCTGCAGGGCAGCAGAGATCACAAAACATAGAGCACAGCCATCAGGATGACAAAATAAACAGCAGGGTCCACACTGGCTCTTTGTCGACAATAAAGGGAGGAAAAAAACAAAAGTCTCTTCAAGGGTTAGAAGTTTTTTGTTGACAAAACTGGGTGTTTTTCCCAACAAAAGTTGCATGACAATGCACTCAGGCTACGTCTATACTGGCATGATTTTCTGGAAATGCTTTTAACAGAAAAGTTTTCCGTTAAAAGCATTTTCAGAACAGAGCATCTAGATTGGCACAGACGCTTTTCCTTTTTGCAGAAAAGCGTCCGTGGCCAAGCCTGACGCGCTTTTCCGCAAAAAAGCCCCGATCGCCATTTTCGTGATTGGGGCTTTTTTGCAGAAAACAAAATCTGGGCTGTCTACACTAGCCCTTTTCTGCAAAACTTTTGCGCAAAAAGACTTTTGTCCAAACGGGAGCAGCATAGTATTTCCGCAAAAACACTGACAATCTTACATGAGATCGTCAGTGCTTTTGCAGAAATTCAAGCAGCCAGTGTAGACAGCTAGCAAGTTTTTCTAGAAAAGCGGCTGATTTTCCGAAAAACTGGCCAGTCTAGACACAGCCTCACTGTTTTATTACCAGAAGGCAGTTTTGGTTGAAAAAAAAATCCTTGTTTTTGACAAAAAAAACACAGAAAAAAGGAAGAAAACAGGAGAAATTTTCATCCCAATTTTTTGCAGGAAAAAACTGAACTGCCCAACCAGTCATACCATCTACCCCTAAACTGTTCCATTCCCCGCTCCACTGCTCACAGGTCCTGCTGCTGTTGCTTTTCTCTCCTACACTGGGCTGGAGTCCCTACTGGGAGGGAGATTTCTACAGGATGAAAATCCAGGGAGCGAGGCAAGGCCAGAACAGTTTCGTGTGAATTCCAGAGTGGTGAGCGCCTCCACCAGCAACTGGAGGAAGAACATATCCAGGCCCATCAACCTCACCTTCCTGCATCTCGAGGTGGGTTGACCACGTATGTTCTCAGTAGGTGATAGCACGAGATGGAGGAGAGAGTCTGGTTTTGACCCTGCTTGTGTGTAATTCCATTCTCTTGGTCCATGGCAGAGGGTGTTTGCATATAAAAGCCCAGACCACGACCCTGGGCCTCTGAGAGCCCTCAGGGAGTTTGGATCTGGATTTGCATCTAGATGTGATCTCCTGGAATTGGGCCCAGCTTTAGAGGCATGTTGCAGCAGTGCAGTCAGGGCAGGGTGACTGGTTTCCCACCTTTCGTGTACAAAAAAGCAGGGCTCGTGGGATGATGTTGTGCCCAGACCACTGAGCAGCTGGCCCTGTGCACTGCGCCCCCTACAGATCCCAAAAGGGGATGATCCTGGGAAAACCTGGACAGGTGGCAACCCAGGCGATAGGTAAAGACGAGACGGTCTGCCGGGCCTTGTGTCCTGTGGTGTGAAAGGCGGAGCGAGGGGGCAGACACTGGGGGACTCTCACGGCATGACGCATTCATGACCTCATCCCCCAAATGGAAGGGCTGGCTGGCCCGATATGGCACTTATCCAGTGGGGCAAGTCACAGGCCCCCTGGCAAGTTGTGTCCTGGGATCCCAACAGCGTGGCAGCCCGTGGGGGTCCCTCCCGCAGGCCCTGGGAAGGGCGTCATCAGCCTCAGTTTATGTGCGCCTGTGGCTGGGCACAGAGCTTCCTCTGGCTCTGGCCTTTGTGACGTCCCTGCACCATCCCTGTTGCCGTGGTGCTGCCTCCTGCTGGAGGCCTCTGTGAGGTCGCTGGCCTGGTCTCTAGCACAGGTGCCTTGAGCTGCAGCCTGGCTCCTGTTTCCTTGTGGGGCTGCTGGCCTGGCATGGAGTGGGATAGGGTCGGCACACCCCGCCCTCTGTCCCTCTCCGGCTTCCCCCGCCCCTCCCTGACCACCCCCAAGGATCCATGAGCAGGTGGATGGTTCCGTTCTCTTGGCAGCGGGGCTCTTGTTGGGTTCCTTTAATTTTTCTGGTTCATAATTGACCAGTCTGAATTCTAGAGGAGGGGTCACACGTGGCCCAGACACGCCCAGACTTTAGCATCTGTCCCCAGAGCCACGTGCCCATTTCTCCCCCCTCCGGGCTGAATACTTGGGCTCAAATTCTCTGCAATCGCTCCACGGGAACCAGTAAGTTAATTCACCATCTCAGCCCATTCCCCTGGTGTTTGCCCATCTCCCTTGTCTCTCCTAAGCTTCGACGCTCATGGGGCAGGGACCCTGCCGGACCGGAGGGAATAAGCACGATTTCAGACTGGCCCTCTGCTCGGGAGATGTGGATGCTACTCCAGGGTCTTCTGTGGGTTTGCAGGATGAACCTGAATTACTTAACTGCTCTGTTCCTCCTCCCCCCCACTGTGAAACAAGGCTCTTCACGTGGACCTCCAGCTGAGGTCCTTGGATAACAATAATTAGTGATAGTGCTCACAATATTCATTGTTAATAGTAACAATAACCCAGTGTTTCAGCCCATTGCCGTACTACAGTGCAGCACTTTGGTGAAAGACCGAATGCACAGAGACTCCAAAGGGCATGTGACTGGCCGTTGCATTCAACCATCAAATGCAGCGTCTTTCCCGATGAGCATGGTGGGCGGGGAGAAACTCCTGCCTGACTCACATCACCACGTCCTGTGCTCAGAGCTCATCCCTCGGGCCTGAATCCCCATTCTGTCGCTGATTGCAAATCCCTGCAGGACAAGCCTCTGCTGGATCGTGCCATCTGCGTCCACTGGGACTCCACGGGCCAGGATGCTGTGTGGTCCCCCCAAGGCTGCCAGAACCTTCACTCCAATGTCACCCACACACGGTGCCGCTGTCACTCTCTGACCAGCTTTGCGGTACTGATGGCGCCTGGTCTCATCCAGGTATCTGGGACTTTGGGCTTGAAATCGGGTCAGTGCATGGGATGCTGGGCTCCCTGCTGATGGCCCTTTGGCCAGGATTTGGGGTCCTTGCAGGGTGGAGGAATTGATGCTATTGCTCAGGTCTGTACTTTGGTTTATTTTGAGATGTGCACAAAGTCCTGTTTTCCTGAACCCAATGCAAACAAAAACCAGGCAGTTGTCTGGCTCAGAAATCCCTGTGTCTGCCCCTCCAGCAAGCTGAGTGCCCAGGAAGGTCCATCTCTTGGCTTCCTTTCATGCTGACACTTGCTTCTCAGGGCTTTCTGCCTCCGACACAGGCAGCAAAAGCCAATCTCCTCCACCCTCATCTGCAGCCAGGGAACCCCCTCGGTCTACCTTGCTCAGCTCTGAGTGCCGTGTACCTGGAGCTGGCCCTCTGTTATTCAGAGAACATTAGAACTGGAACTGGAAGGGACCCAGCACCGTCTAGACCATCCCTGACAGATACCTGTCTAACCTGCTCTTAAATAGCCCCAGAAGTGGAGATTCCACAACCTCCCCGGGCAACTTATTCCAGTGTCTAACCCCCCTGCCAGGCAGGAACCTTTTCCTAGTGTCCAACCTAAACCTCCCTTGCTGCAGTTTAAGCCCATTGCTTCTTGTCCTAAGCTGTCTGCTGTGTAAACCAGAGCCGACTTGTACAGCAACAGCTCCAGCCATCTCAACTTACGTATGTTATTCCCGGGGAGAACAGGTCAGGTCTCAGCCATTCCTGCCAAACCCCATCACCACTGCACCAGTCCACAGAGCTTTGTCATGCACACGTCACTGCGGCTTTCCTGCTAGCCTGGAGATCTGGGGCCCTTTCTCTTGGGTCTGGGGGTTTGAACTGACAGCATTTGCTATTTAAAGTGATAACCTAGAGCCCTCTGGCTTCAGCCACCACTAGTGCCCCTCAGTCACGAGGCAGGGTTGCTCAGAGAGAGGACTGGGAGGCAACAGCATCTCTTACTATAGAATCCTGGAACTGGAAGGGACCTCGAGAGGTCATCAAGTCCAGCCCCTGCCCTCAGGGCACCATCTAGATCATCTCTGACAGGCATTTGTTAACCTGCTCTTCAATGTCTCCAGGGATGGAGATTCCACAACCCCCCTAGGCAACTTATTCCAGTGTTTCACCACCCTGACAGTTGGGAACTTTTTCCTAATGTTCAACCTAAACCTCCCTTGCTGCAGTTTAAGCCCATTGCTTCTTGTCCTGTCCTCAGAGGCCAAGGAGAACAATTTTTCCTTGTAACAACCTTGCACAGAAAATGAATGGAAATGAGGTTAAACTCAGGTATATGTACCAAATGCGCCCACTGCTTGGGTTCTACAGGGCAGTCAGCATAAAAAGAGGTTTCAGGCAGCATGGCCTAGTGAGTAAAGCACTTACCTGGGAATCAGGAGTCCTGGGTTCTTTCCATTGCTTATGTGGCACCCAGCACAATGAGCCCCTAATCTTAGAGGGGACATCTAGTTGCTGTTGTAATCATCTCTAATAATCCGTTGTTCTAATCTGCTTCCTGTGGGGATTCAACTTTGTGACTAAAATACGATTTTGCTCCTGTTCACTCTCCTGAGACAGCACAGCTAGGCTGTGTCTAGACTGGCCAGTTTTTCCAGAAAATCAGCCGCTTTTCCGGAAAAACTTGCCAGCTGCCTACACTGGCCGCTTGAATTTCCGCAAAAGCACTGACTTCCTACTGTAAGAAATCAGTGCTTCTTGTAGAAATACTATTCTGCTCCCGTTCGGGCAAAAGTCCCTTTTGCGCAAAAGGGCCAATGCAGACAGCTGAGATTTGTTTTCCGCAAAAAAGCCCCGATCGCGAAAATGGCGATCGGGGCTTTTTTGCGGAAACCGCGTCTAGATTGGTACTGACGCTTTTCTGCAAAAAGTGCTTTTGTGCAAAAGCATCCTGCCAATCTAGACACTCTTTTCCGAAAATGCTTTTAACGGAAAAACTTTTCTATTAAAAGCATTTCTGGAAAATCATGCCAGTGTAGACGTAGCCCTAAGGCAGAGTGCGCGAGATTTGTGGCTCATGGAGAATCAGCAGGACTGGGTCCTAGAATCTAACTGCAGAATCTTTGACACTTGGGAACCCAGCTAGATGCATGTAATATCTATATTACTGGGACAAAAGCTTCAGAGGGGGAGCCCCGTTAGTACGTAACTGGAAAACTTAAAAAACAACCAATAGTCTAGCAGCATCTTAAAGACTAACAAAACATGTTGATTGTATCATGAGCTTTCGTGGGCACAAGAAGTGGGTTTGCCCATGAAAGCTCATGATCCTCCGTACATGTTTTGTTAGTCTTTAAAGTGCTGCTAGACTATTCGTTGTTTTTTAAGTTTTTCTGTATTACTGGGAGTTAGGCAACTATTTCTTGAGACCTGTCAGCTGAGCACCAGGTTGAATAGGGGCACCAAGATGCTAAGCCAAGTGTCATTTCTATGTAGAACCTCACCTTAGTTGAGTTGCTCAGAAGATAAAAAGACTCATGCTGAGCACCTTTAATTCTACTCACCTGGAAAATCGAAAAACAAAAGCCATTTTCATTGTAAAGGGAGTAGTGAAAAACTGAACTCCTGTTGCCATGGACCCGAAATGCTAGACTTTAGTTTTTGGGTTCATCACAGGGCATCTTCTAGCCACAAACCACTCAGAGACCATACGCTCCTTAGCTCACTCCGCGAAGGGCAGCGGCAGAAAAGCATTTCCCCCTTCAGAGACTGACTCTAAAAGGTTCGGGTATGGTGTGATGTTATGTTCCAACCCATCCTGTGCCCCTGCCTTCCTCTTCCTTTTCTATTGTCTGGGCTGATGGGTTGATTAGCCTTGTAGCTTTCTGCAGCCCTTACCCAATTTAGCAATTAGGCACAACTTTGCTCCCTAGCTCATTCTGGGGTGATTTAATTGGTGAGCCAGTGATCTGAGTGCTAGAACAGCTCCTGTTGCCACAGGGTTAAATACCACTGCAATAACCAATGGATAATCAGCCTCAGTGTTCCATTAGGGTTATAATTTTAAATACTGGCAGCTAGACTAGAGGTTGTGTCTGCATTGGCGTGATCTTGCGCAAAAGCAACTGGTTTTGCACAAAAACTTGCTGCCTGTCTACACTGCCCATGAGTTCTTGCGCAAGAGCACTGACGTTCTAATGTATGAAATCAGGGCTTCTTGTGCAAGAACTATGATGCTCTCACTCAGGAATAAGCCCTCTTGCGCAACTGTTCTTGTGCAAGAGGCCAGTGTAGACGGGCAACATGAATTTCTTGCGCAAGAAAGCCCGATGGTTAAAATGGCCATCGGAAATTTCTTGCGCAAGAAAGCATCTACACTGGCATGGATGCTCTTGCGCAAAAGTACATGCCAGTGTAGATGCTTTCTTCTGGAAGAGTTTTTGCACAAGAACTCTTCCACAAAAGAGTTCTTCCGGAAGATCATGCCTGTGTAGACGTAGCCTTCAAGTATAGGCCGGCTTATAGGATGTTTAGCCATGTTAGTCTGTTTCTGAAAAAATAAGAAGAATTCTGGTGTCAGGAGTTACTGTGTCCACATATCTACCCTAGTGCCACCATCACAGGACCTAGCCACATCGGCCATACCATCACAGGCTCATTCACGTGCACATCTGCCAGTGTGATGTATGCTACCACGTGCTAGCAATGCCCCTCTGCCATGGACACTGAACAAACTGGACTGTCTCTCTGCAAAAGAATAAATGGGCACAAATCAGACATTTTGGGAAAAACCCAAAAGCCAATGGGGGAGCACTTTCACCTCCCTGGGCACACAGTTACTGACTGGCAAGTTGCCTTTCTCAGGCAAAAAAAAAAGTCAAAACCAGACTGCCGTGGGAAACGTCTCAGCTGAAATTCATATGCAACTTTGACACCCTGAACCAAGATCTAAATAGACACGTGGAGTGGTTCTTGCATGGCACTAGGTAATTTCCCGTTCAAGTACTCTCACCTCATCGCTGCTGGAAATGAGCCACATCCACTGTGATTTAACTAGCCAATTAGCCTGCCATAAGATGGGATTTTCAGGTCTCTCCTCCACGTCCGTCTTCTCTCCTGAGCCTCCGGTCTCTCGCTCCATCTCTCTCTCCTCCTTCTCCTACTGCCCCCCCCCAGCTCTCCTCCACCTTTTGCCTCTCCTCTCTCTCTTTCTCTTCTCCCCCTCCTGCCTCTCACTCTCTCTCCGTTCTCCTCCTTCTCCGTCAGGGATGCACTCTCGTCCAAGCCCCACCCCCTGGGCGTGTACGTCACCTTCACCTCCTGCTGTGGCACTCGGCTGACTTTTGTGCTGCTCAGCCAGGCCGCCACAGAGGAACAAGGCCCAAAGCGCCGCTCAGCTGGGAGTGAGGCACCACGCAGGAAGGGGAAGGGGAAGGGGCTGGCTGGAAGGGGGGTAGAAAGCAGAGCTGGGTGGGGGATTTGGGGCAGGGGGGCTGGAGGAGAG